GGCACCTGTATTCCCAGCTACTGGGGAGGCTGAGGCAAGAGAATCGCTTGAGCCCAAGAGCTGGAGGTTGCTATGAGCTATAATGCCACTGCACTCTACCAAGGCCACACAGTAAGACTCTGTCTCAATAAAAATAATAATAAAATAAAATAAAATATATTCTTAATGGTACTCAACCTTCATGATTTAAATTCCCACAAGCTTTAGAAACTGCTCAAAACATATTCTCACTTTAATAATGGCCTTCAGTTTTTAAACTAATGAATTTACACACCAAGCACCATTAATACTTTCCATATTCTTTCTCATTTTAATTGTCTCTAAAAGAGAATAATACTCACACTTTACAGAGGAGGACATAGGAGATTTAGATGTTAAGTAAGTCCTGCAAGGTCCTTCAGCTTATTAACGGATTATAAAGCAAACCCATCTGACTCTGAAGACCAAGTTCCTAACCACTTTGCTTGAGATGCTGCATTTTACTAAATATTCCAGATATATTTTTTCCAGGTCTCATGAGACCTTACTTCTCTGACTTTCCTATTCTAACAATTCTGAAAGACTACTACTGAGATCTCAGTCTTTTACTCTGTATCCCCATCGACCTATACTCCAGTTTCACAGTTGCCATACATAGCAAAAAAAAAATACAAAATGGCCAGTAATATTTGAATTTCAAAACAACGAACAATACTAAAAAAGTATCCACTGTTTGTCTGAAATTTAACCTCAAAAGGTTATTATTACAAGTCCATGTGTCTTGTATTTTATCTGACAATTCTATCAAGCTCCGACTTTATTGGGGTTACAAGCCTCAATCGCCTACTTCCGGGTAGAAAATAAAGCCCAAGGGAGGCACTGGCTGTTGAGATGGTGCAGCCAATGTCCTTAAATTGAGGTACCCAGTGCTCATCTCTGAAAAAGCTACTGACTCAGGTCCTGTGAAAGAAATCAAGGCTCGATCCCTAGAGCCACTCCGCTAACAGCCACAGCTCTCTTTGCTTGTAAAGTCTTAAGAGAAAAAAAAAGTTGTTTGTTGGAAAAAGCCAACAGGTCACGGGGTCTTTGGAAAAAAAGAATAAAAAAGCGACAACACAGCCCCCAAAAGTGAAATAGAGAAGGAACAGGGAGAGGGCATAAATAATCCCTAGCGGTGCAAGAACCGCGTTATAGGTAAATAAAAGCTCGAGGACACGTCAAAGAAGAGAAGGAGAACTGCCCGCCAGGCCTAAACTCTCTCCCTCCCGTCCGATGGGCCCGATGCTGCGGGCACGTCTGCCCATTCTCTCTTCCCCTGTGTCGCCCTTGCCCCGACATCAAGCCTCCACGTTCCCTCTTTTCTTCTCCACTACCTTTGACTCGCGCGCTCTTGGTCTCAAATTTGGTTAGCATCCTTCAGGCCTCGGAATCCGACGTCCTAATCGCAGCCCCGCCACTCCCCGCTGCCCTTCGGACGCTTCCACGTCAGCGACACTGGGCCGCGGCTCCCGGAAGCTCCTGGGGAAATGAACTTCCGGTCTCTGGGGCTCCGGGCCACAGAGACTGCGTCGGTTGCAGCCTAGAGAGGTCGCTATCCGACGGGAGGAAAACCGAGGCTTCCGCTCAGCTGAGAGGCAAGATGGCCACGGCTGGGGGCGGCTCTGGGGCTGACCCGGGAAGTCGGGGTCTTCTTCGCTTGTTTTTCTGCGTCCTACTGGCAGGTGAGGTCTCCTTCCCCGTGAGATTTGTTCTGTGAGGGTAGTTCTCGGAATCGGCCCAGCCGTGAGCGCCGCCGTCTCCTTAGTGGTCCCTTCTGCTCCTCTGTCCCCCCACCCTGTAAATCCTCCTTCTCTTTCGTTCCCACAACAGAAGTTCCCCCTCTGCCTGGACCTGAAGGGTCCCTTCTCCCCAGTGATACGTCGTGTCTGTCTCCTTCCAGCCCGACCCTCAGTCTCTTAGTCCAGTGCCTCATTTTCCCCACAGCCCCGGCCACCTCACCCACAAATCTAAAGAAACAGGTGTGAAAGTTCAGCTTTTTTCTCCTTATATAGACTTTTGGGGATGAAAGCAGGCCCCTACTCTGAGTGCTGTGCAGCACTTAAAAGGTATAGTCCTCATTTCTTCCTCTGTTGCTTCCACTATAAACTCACATCCCTGTGACTCTACCTTAGTTTCTTTCATCAGTAGAGTGAGAGTAAGGTAAGGTCTGAGTACTCTTGACTGTTAAGATCACGAAGTAACAATTCAAGGAATTTTAGATATTTATAATGTACTTAAGTGTTTGCTTACACGCGTTTATTTTCTGGTATATGACTTTCTAGTTGGTTGAGCTCTAAAATGCAAACATTCCTGTATATAACCATGAGTGTGCCCTCCTGTAAATTCATATTGTTTTTAAAGATTCCCCAAAGGAGAAACTACAGCTGCTCACACTGGTGGACACACACAAATAACCTACTGATGTTAAATTAACATCATACCATAAGGTTTCTTCCGGTTCTGTTCACACTCTTGGAAAAATGTCTTAGAAAGTTTGTATCATTGTAATCTAAGCCTTTAAACTAGCACTTTTTCTGAACTATTTAGTAACAAACATACAGGACAGAAAAGCAGAAGTATGGTCACCACTGCAACCAGAATCTGGCACATGTAAGGTTACACACTTCATTTTGACAGATCAAGTTTTCTCCCTTTGCTTCACTGTTACTTGCTCTATAGTGGACTTGGTAATAACCCTTTGAGGCACATAGCTGAGTGCTTTGTAGAGCATTTATCTGTTCTAATAATGTGCCCAAGAAGTGAGAAGAATGGACATTTAATTCCATTTTAGACAGTATGATATTGAATGATTTACTCAAGGCATACATGGAACTAATGATGTAATAGAAGCTGATACCTGTGTCTCTCAATTTTTTCTAATACTTTTATCTTCCAATCAGGTTTGTGCAGGGGAAACTCAGTGGAAAGGAAGATCTATATCCCCTTAAATAAAACGGCTCCCTGTGTTCGTCTGCTCAATGCTACCCATCAGATTGGCTGCCAGTGTGAGTTGAGGTTGGGATGCATGCTTGTGGACATTGATATTTCAGTCTGTGCCTTAGATATTAAGAGAGATCCATGTCCTGCTTAGGAGTCTCAGCACTCAAATTAGACTATGTGAGTAGGAGGTAATAGAGAACCATCTGTCAAAACAGGGAAGAAAATTAATACAGGCAGTCCCAGGGTAACAAACAAGATAGGTTCTGTAGGTTTGTTCTTAAGTTGAATTTGTATGTAAGTTGGAACAGGTATATTTACCCATTACCTGTAACAGCCACCATTTGTAAGTATAAGTTATTTATAAATCACATGTTTGTAACTAGAGGACTGCCAGCGAGAATAACATTTAGTAAACGCTGGATACCAAGACTTTGACATGTATCTCATTTTATTTCTCCCACCCTAAATTAACTCATAAGTGCATTTCATTTAACCCTGCAAATCCCCCCCCATGAAGTAGGTCTTATTATTATTGTCATTTTACAAATGATATAAGTAAGACTTAGAGAAATTGAGTAATTTTCCCAAGATCATACTGGTAAGGAAGCCAGAATTTAAAACCTTGTAAACTTAAGGTTAAAAACAAGTTCTAAGCCAGGACTCTTAGTCACCTGCTAATACTGTTTTCTGAAGTGAAAGAAGTCTTGTGTTCTATAGAGGCCAGTTATCTCCTACAGTCTGAGTGAACTTTTTGGAAACAGTTGGGCTTTTTTTTTTTTTTTTTTTTTTTTGAGACAGAGCCTCAACCTGTCGTCCTGGGTAAAGTGCTGTGGCATTACAGCTCACAGCAACCTCCAACTCCTGGGCTCAAGCGATTCTTCTGCCTCTGCCTCCCAAGTAGCTGGGACTATAGGTGCCCACCACAGTGCCTGATTTTTTGGTTGCAGCTGTCATAGTTGTTTGGCAGGCTCCGGCTGGATTCAAATCCACTGGCTCAGGTATATGTGGCTGGCACCTTAGCTGGTTGAGCCACAGGCGCCAAGCTACAGTTGGGCTTCTTAAAGACAATGAACTATTTGAAAAAAAGGCATTGAAAATGCAAGAGGAATTAGTGAAGCATTCAAATTTATCTTTCTGTCTTTCTTTCTTTTGAGACAGAGTCTCACTTTGTCACCCTCAGTAGAGCACTGTGGCATCACAGCTCCCCAGCAACCTCAAACTCTTGAACTTAAGCGATTCTTTTGCTTTAGCTAGGAGTACAGGCACCCACCATAATGCCCAGCTACTTTTTGGTTGTAGTTGTCGTTATTTGGCAGGTCTGGGCTGGATTTGAACCTGCCAGCTCTAGTGTATGTGGCTGGCTCCCTAGCCACTGAGCTACAGGTGCTGAGCCTATCTTTATGCTTTATAAATGTGTTCCAAAATAAGATACCATGGCACCGTAGTTCTAAAACCTATAGAAATTATAGAAAGTGGGAGAAAGTTGTGAGCTGAAGGCTAACCTGCTATCTTCAGGTTTTATCCTTTCAAGGGGAGTAGTACTCTTAGAGTGTAGTTTTAGAGGTAAGCAGGAAGTTTAGGGTCTGGCCTTGGCTTCTTCATCATCAATTTGATAACATCTGAATTCAACTTAACTCCTATAATAATGGTTGGAATAGTCTTGTTCAAAGCTGAAAGCCATACTGCCTTTTAGTAGATGTTTATTGATAATGCTGAGTAAGTACTGTCGTCTCAGCAGTACTGTGCAACTGCCTGAAACCTTCCAATTTGGTAGGAAAGAGCTGAACCACTGGCAAGTAAAAGACTTGCTCAGAAAGGCAGTTACTAGTTCTCTACCCATCCTTCCCTGAGCTATACTGTATGTCAGTTTTCCCATGTCCTTGCTACATGAAGCACTGGGAGTAGGTTGATTGGTTCCAAATAGCCTCAAATAAGGTTTTTGTTGAACTTAGTTTCCATACCAGTTTTATGGGCGGAAGAGAACTGTGTCCAGTGTAGGCTAAGAGCCAGTTTTGCTGTAACTTCTCTATAAGTACAAAAGACCTGGACTCCCTTCTTTTAGAACTAGGTTCCATTCTTCTAGAACTAGAAATCCCCTTTGAGAATGAGCCATTTTGCTGTGTTCTTAGAATAGCTCTGTGGGAAGCAATGTAGCAACCTCTAAAGCCAAAGGCCAATACAGAAAAACAAGAGGGGAGAAGCTGGACTATGACCACTTCCTCATTAAGATCTTGTTTCCTGTTCAACTTGCTTTTTTTTTTTGAGACAGAGTCTTACTTTGTCACCCTTGGTAGAGTGTTGTGGCAACATAGCTCATAGCCACCTCAAACCCTTGGGCTCAAGCAATTCTCTTGACCCAGTGTCCCAAGTAGCAGGGACCACAGGCACCTGCCACAATGCCCAGTTATTTATTTATTTATTTATTTATTTTGAGACAGGGTCTTGGTCTTGCTTAGCCTGGTCTTGAACTCCTGAGCTCAAGCTGTGTACCCACTTTGGCCTCCCAGAGTGCTGGGATTATAGACTTGTGCCACCTTGCCTGGTCCAACCTGCTTATTTATTAGTCTTACTTCATCATATCTGTGTGTTCTGAGCAGGCTCCCTCTTTAATTAGGATTGCTAACATGATAAAGGTAAGGTGAAAACCATATTTGATTTCTGATTATAATGCCCTGTTTCTGTTAGACCCTTTAAAGTCTTCAATGGGAGCTATGTATAGGTTTCTTTTTCCTTGTTCTTTCCTTTTTAGATCTGTCCTCCAGTATGACATCAATAGGGATAGAAAATCATCTCCTTATTGAAGGCCCAGAAAAAATAAGCAAGTTACTAAAGACTATACAGTCACTACTTAGAATCCAGATTAGAATCCAGGTTTTTTTTTTTTTTTTTAGTCTAGTATCGTTGCGTCTTTCCTTCTTCTCCCTGGAACTGAAATTATGTATTTTTTGTTTACTTTCCCTTTCCCATGTTTTAAATACTATGGCAAAATTGTTGGGGTTTGTTTTACTTAGAAATTCCATTGGTATCTGGATCTTTTTTTGTTTTGTGGTTTTGTTTTGTTTTGTTTTTGAGACAGAGTCTATGTCACCCTCAGTCGAGTGCTGTGGCATCACAGCTCATAGCAATCTCAAACTCTTGGGCTTAAGCAATTCTCTTGCCTCAGTCTCCCTAGTAGCTGGGACTACAGGTGCCTGCCACATTGTCTGGCTATTTTTTTGTTGCAATTGTCATTGTTGTTTAGCTGGCCCGGGCCAGGTTTGAACCCACCAGACTCAGTGTATGTGGCTGGCGTCCTACCCACTGAGCTATGGGCACTGCCGGTTTTTGGCTTTTTGAGACAGAGTCTCACTGTGTTGTCCTGGGTAGAGTGCTATGGCATCATCATACCTCACAGCAACCTCAAACTCCTGGGCTCAAGTGATCCTCTTGCCTCAGTCTCTCTAGTAGCTAAGACTACAGGTGCCTGCCACAACACCCATCTAGTTTTTCTGTTTTTAGTAGAGATGGGATCTTGTTTTTGCTCAGGCTGGTCTAAAACTCCTGAGCCCAAGCAATCATCCACTTTGGCCTCCCAGAGTGTTAGGATTATAGGCATGAGCCATCATGCCCAGACTGGATCTTTTTTTTTTTGGCCAGGGACCGAGTTTGAACCCACCACCTCCAGTATATGGGGCTGGCACCCTACCCCTTTGAGCCACAGGTACCACCTGCCTGGATCTTTTTTTGAGACAAACTCTTACTCTGTTATCCAGACTGAAATGCCATTGTGTCAACCTAACAGAACCTCAAACTCTTGGGCTCAAGTGATCCTCCTGCCTCAGCCACCCAAGTAGCTGGGACTACAGGCACCTACAACAATGCCTTGCTGATTTTTCTATTTTTATGATGCCTGGATAATTTTTCTATTTTTAGTAGAGATAGGGGTCTCCCTCTTGCTCAGGCTGGTCTCAAACTCCTGACTTCAAGTGATCCACCCACTTCGGCTGCCCAGAGTGCTAGGATTACAGAGTGCTAGGTGAGCTACCATGCCCAGCCTTAGTATCTGGATCTTAAGTTGTTCCAGACTCTGCTTTTTCTCCATATTTTATTATCACTGACATGACCTTACTAAGTATTTACTATATATAAGACATAGTTGAATGTTGGAGATAAGGCCTCCATGTCCAGATTTCTTCAGATCTCATAGGGGAAAAATGTCTGCTTAGCTGGTAGTCTGGAAGTTCCTATGGTTTATACCTCATGCATTTACAAGTATGGGGTGCCCATAAAGTTCATGTGCAATTTAAAATTGCACATAAACTTTATGGCTACCACCCTGTATTTCAGTGCCTTGGTCCCAAATCACATGTCTTGTGTCAGACTATATATAATAAGGAACCACATACAGCATATTTTTTAAAAGTACATATGCCTGGCCCCTGCCTTTACTAATTTTAATTTAGTATATCCTAATTAAAGCCCAAGCATCTATATTATTTCAAACCCCAAAGTTGTTCTGACACACAGCCAGGGCTGAGAACTACTAGTCTAAAATTATTTATGACTAACACAGCAAATTTTCTGTGGGAAGGAGACTCACAGGGAGACCCTGGGATATCCCTGTGTGGATCACTAGGGATTTGAGAGGTATTACCTAATGCCTTGAATTACATAGAATTCTAGGCATTCTGGACTATGGATCATTCATACTCTAGAGCAGTGCTTCCCAATCTTTGCAGATGATAAAACACATAGAAAACCTTATTTGTTCAGCTTCCTGGCACATAGGGAAATGGATGATACTTGCAGGGCCTTCCTGGAGTAAATGATAAGTTTGCTCCTGGCTGGAGGTGACCAGCCTAGGGACATTGGAAACCCTAGGCCCCCAGGAATGAGAGGAATGGATTAGGCACATCTCTAATCCATTCAAGGCCTGTTAATTGGGAAGCTCTGTTCCTCAGAGTTCTTGATTAACCTCACCTATAATTGGCCAAAAGCAAGTAAAGTCATTCCCAAATAGGGCAAAGGAATGGCGATCCAGGAAGGCTACTGAGGCCAAGGGAATCTACACATATGTTTTCACAAAGGAAGATTCAAAGCTAGAACTCCGAGCTAGAGATCTAGAGCCTGGCATTTCCTGGATGAAATACAGGTTTGAAAACTTTGGTGTTTACTGTTTTAGAATCTTACATATGTGGCTAAATGAGGTTGGGGGAAGAGGGTAGGAAAATGAAGTTCATAGAGCCTTTCTGTCATTTAATGAGCAAGTGTTTAATGAGTCTTCATGGGCTCTTTTGTCCTCCATTCCCTCCTGATGACCTTCAAGTGGAGCTGGGGAAATTCAGCTTTTCAGTTCAAATCCAGAGGTGCCTATATTTACCCAAATATGTTGTGTCTTTGAAATAAAATATTTGCAGAATCAGTGAGGCAGAGTTGGAATTGTCAACTGTGGGGGCTTTAACTTGTCTCATTCTGTCCTGGCAGCTTCAATTAGCGGAGACACAGGGGTCATCCATGTAGTGGAGAAAGAAGAGGACCTGCAGTGGGTATTGACTGATGGCCCCAACCCTCCTTACATGGTTCTGCTGGAGGGCAATCTCTTTACTGGGTAAGAGCTAGATATTTTTGCTGGAACAGTGCATCCAGACAGGGAAAGATTTGGTGAATAGTCCTCACACTTGGTGAAAACTTCTCTTGGCTACCCTGGTCTGGTCAGGGTCAGAAGGAAGGGGGTAACATCAAGGGGAACCATCTTGATGGCCTTAAAAATGGAGATTTAGTGAGTAAGGACCCCCAGGGAGATAGAGTCCCCAGGGTCACTCAGGGACAAGGTAAATGAAATTAAGCCTTGAGCTCAGATTGGGTCATATAGTCCAGACTCAGAAGTTAAAACTGAAAAAAGACGAAATGAGTCAACAGTCTAATTCCCATGGGATGAGAATTCCCCTCATTCCCATTTGTTGTGGAGGGCAGGATGTCAGGCTGTCTGATACCTTTCTTTCTTCCATTATGCCATTCCTTCCCTATTCCAGGGATTTAATGGAGAAGCTGAAGGGGAGGACCAGCCGAATTGCTGGTCTGGCAGTGTCCCTGTCCAAGCCCAGTCCTGCCTCAGGCTTCTCTCCTAGTGTGCAGTGCCCAAATGATGGGTTTGGTAAGAGCCCCAAACAATCAGTAGAGCCTGCTGTCACCCAAGTCTCATTGTTGCTTCAGTCTTGTGTCTTTGAGGGGTGTTTGTGTGTGTCTGTTTACAGTATCAACTACGAACTCACACACCGAAGATAGTGCTTCCTTGTACTTGCCACTCATCCCTTCCCTCTTCTGCTTCCTCTTCCTTTGCTTACCTTCTATTATGCCCTCTTTCCATGTGCTCAGATCCCTAATCTGCCAGCCTAGGGCTCCCTGACACCACTGTCTCTCTATTTTAGTGTGGATAGTGGTAGATTCATGCCTGCTGCTTTGAGTCACCACCTCTTTTTGAACTCTTTTTTTTTGAGACAAAGTCTCACTATATTGCCCTGGATAGAGTGCTCTGCCGTCACAGCTCACAGCAACCTCTAACTCTTGGAGTTAAGCAATTCTCTTGCCTCAGCCTCCCAAGTAGCTGGGACTATAGGTGCCCAACATAGCACTTAGCTATTTTTTGGTTATAGTTGTCATTGCTGTTTGGCAGGCCTGGGCTGGATTCAAACCCACCAGCTCTCTTGTACATGGCTGGTGCCCTAGCCGCTAAGCTACAGGTGCCGAACCCTCTTTTTGAACACTTAGTCCCAACCCTGTGAGGTTGTAGTCTTTCTCTTACCTTGTCCCTAAGTGCTTGGTGTCCCAATAACTTGCCACCCACCCACCCTATTTCTCTACCCCTGTCCTCTCCTTTAGGTGTTTACTCCAACTCCAATGGGTCAGAGTTTGCTCACTGCAGAGAAATACAGTGGAACTCCCTGGGCAATGGCTTGGCTTATGAAGACTTTAGTTTCCCCATCTTCCTTCTTGAAGATGAAAATGAAACCAGGGTTATCAAGCAGGTAATGACTCTCCCAGCTCCTTACAATTCCAGTTAGAAACTGAAGACTGTTTTTCAGGCTCTCCTCCCGTGCAGAAGGAGTCTAATTCTACTAGGGTACCTTCTGAAGACAGTTGCTCCAAAAAGAACCCAGAGGTTTATTTCTCTTGCTTTTCTCTCCTGCCTGTTATCACAGTGCTAAAGGCTTTTAGACTGGAAGAAAGTAAGAATATTTGAAAGAATAGGGTGAAGCGAGGCATACAGCTCTGGTTAAGGACCACTACTATGATAAAAAGAGCATTTGGTTAGGAATCAAGAGAGTTAGTTTGGTAAAATTTCTGAGGTTCTTTTTAGCTCTAGTATGTTTTGATTCTAGTCTAGTTTTTTGCATTTGGATCTATAGAGCAGTTAAGAGATTTGTCCATAGTCACATAATGAGTTGATGTGCAAGCTGTCTTGCAACTGATTTTGTACCTCTGTTCCAGTGCTCTTTATGTCAAGTCACACTGAATCTTATTCAGTGGCTGAAGCTCTAATTGAGCAAGGCCACTTAGGTGGGGTAATGTCTTTCTATTTTATTTATTTATTTATTGAGACAGAGTCTCACTTTGTCACCCTTGGTAGAGTGCTGTGGCATCTTAGCTCACAGCAACCTCCAACTCTTTGACTTAAGCGATTCTCTTGCCTTAGCCTCCTGAGTAGCTGGGACTATAGGTGCCCTCCACAATGCCCGGCTATTTTTAAAAACAAGATCTTGCTCTGGCTCAGACATGTCTTCAATCTCTGAGCTCAGGCAATCCACCTGCCTTGGCCTCCCAGAGTGCTAGGACTACAGGCATGAGCCACTGCACCTGGCCCTGGGATGGGGTACTTTCATCTGCTCCCAGTAAGCCATTGAGTCTTGTGCCCTTTTGTACCTCTTGATGAGTTTTTCTCTTTGACCTTATAAACCCTGTGGTTGTACCAGGACAACTATAGCTCAGGGACAAATGTCTTTCAAAAGAGAATGGCTTAAGGATATTGCTGGGACCCTCCTCTTTCTGGGAATTAAGGGAGGGCCTCCATAGCTCCCATCTCAGTGGGGTCCACCTCTCCTTCCAGTGCTACCAGGATCACAACCTGAGTCAGAATGGCTCTGCACCGAACTTCCCGCTATGCGCCATGCAGCTCTTCTCACACATGCATGCTGTGGTCAGCACCGCCACCTGCATGCGCCGCAGCTCCATCCAGAGCACCTTCAGCATCAACCCAGGTAGGGCAGAGCCAAGCCTTGCTGTGTGTGTTTGAGGGGTGGGAAGGAGACTGGGAGGGAGGAAGGATCTGGCAAGGAGCATTGGGTGGGTGAAGTGGAAACAATTCTGAATAATTTAGGCAGCTTGTTTCTAAAGTGGATGGTGGCAGAGAAACCAACCTGGACCGGTTGGTGGAAGAGACTATAACTCATAAAGCCTGGGGGGCCCTGGTCAAAGAAGTCTTCCATGCCTGCTTTAGCTGCCCTTTCCCTTAGTCCTGTTGTTCTCTCACTGTTTATGTCCTGCTTAGAAATCGTCTGTGACCCCCTGTCTGACTACAATGTATGGAGCATGCTAAAGCCTATAAATACAACTGGGACATTAAAACCTGATGACAGGGTTGTAGTTGCTGCCACCCGGGTGAGTGTTGGCTCCTGATCAAGATGGGCAGGGCTGGCACAGAAAGAGCTGGCAGGCTTCTCTCTGGCATGTCAGATTTCAGAGTTGCTATGTTGGGGAGCTTCAAATGGGGAGGAATCTGGACTGTGGGACTCCCAGGTTGTCCTCATTGCCCCAGGACATGTATATTCTCTTGGCTGGAGCAGGAAGGGAGGCTTAGGGCTAGTTTTAAAGTGTGTTTTTTTTTCTGCTGTACCCAGCTGGACAGTCGTTCCTTTTTCTGGAATGTGGCTCCAGGCGCTGAAAGTGCTGTTGCCTCCTTCGTCACCCAGTTAGCTGCAGCTGAAGCTTTGCAAAAGGCACCTGATGCGACCACCCTGCCCCGCAATGTCATGTTTGTCTTCTTCCAAGGGGTAAATAAGGGTTTTTTGGCTGGATGAGATGGCAGGGAGAGAGAGGGATGGTAAAAGGGGAGTGGCTATTAGTTGGGAGGACTTTGGCTCTTGACCTAAGTTATGAATAGGCTCAAGGCTTTGGGGCATGTCTACGTGTGTCTCCCCTTGGATTCTTCATTTTAGGAAGTTTCTACACCCTGAATCAGTATGTTATAAACCCCTGCTCTTCCCCACTGTTTAAGATCTATTTACAGCATACTTTCATTCCCTGGACTTCTTTTCTGCTGCTTACATCAGGAGCCCTGAGGCTCCTGCCTCTTCCCACTGGCATCATAGTCTGGCTGTAGAATAAAGGAACAGCAGCCGTGGCTGAGTCAGAGGAGATGGGGGAGAGTTAGGAAGCAGTCACATAACAGCTGATGTTTGCCTTAGGCCTTTACTAAGGCTGCTTTCCCCATTTCTGGGCTTGAAAAGTCCTATGATACATACAGGAGGGAGAGTCACAGCTGGAAGGAAGGGAAAGTCACATGATTGTGTAAGCCAACCAGCAATTGAGAAGACCTGAAACAGTGGCCTTCTTGCCTGCAGCTTTGATGACCTGCTCTTCCTTGAGGCTTTGCTAACCCTTTGGGACCTCAATTCCTTTTCCCACTTATGTCTTCCCCTCAGGAAACTTTTGATTACATTGGCAGCTCAAGAATGGTCTACGACATGGAGAAAGGCAAGTTTCCTGTGCATTTAGAGAACATTGACTCATTCGTGGAGCTGGGACAGGTGTGTATCTTGTATCCTCCACTCCTTTCTTGCCTAAAGCTTCTGCTATGTTCTATTGCCCTCACTGCAGATACCACCACCTCTTTCTTTTCTTCCTTTCCCCCAGGCATGAGCCAAAACAGGAGCCTGATTAACAGTGTTGCTTCTTCATCCTCCCCCCAGGTGGCCTTAAGAACTTCACTAGAGCTTTGGATGCACACAGATCCCATGTCTCAGAAAAATAAGACTGTGCAGAGCCAGGTAACCTGACATCTCCCCTCATGTCCTGTTTTAGCAGTTCAATATGGACCTAATCCTGCCTTAGTTCCACCAACCCCCCAGGGACTGTGAGATAAGAGGCAGAATTAGATTGGGAATTGGCTAAAGGATGAACACTACAGGTGTTATTCCTTGCTGGGAAAAATCAGGAGCTCAGTGAGGTCCTATTGGTTCCCTGGGATGGGTAGTTCTCTGATAACTTGGTGCCTAGAAAATTACCACTGCCTGTTAAGGACAGGCAAGTGATTAGCTCCCTTTTCACCTTGTGCCATGGAGCATGCAGGGCAGCTCCTCGCACAGGGGACTTGAAGGCCTAAGAGAAACCACCTGCTTCCCATCCCCCAGCCTTCCATCAGCTAATCTTCCTCCTCCTCTCAGGTGGAGGAGCTCCTGGCCACACTGGAGCAGAGTGGTGCTGGCGTCCCTGCTGTCATCCTCAGGAGACCTAGTCAGTCCCAGCCTCTCCCACCATCTTCTCTGCAGCGATTTCTTCGACGAGCTCGAAACATCTCTGGTGTTGTTCTGGCTGACCACTCTACTAACTTCCACAACAAGTAAGCATCACTTGGCCCTACATCCTCTTCATTTTTTTTTTGTTTGTTTATTTGTTTTGAGACAGAGTCTCACTGTTGCCCCAGGTAAATGCCATGGTATCATACAGCAACCTCAAACTCTTGGGGTCAAGCTATCCTCTTGCTTCGGTCTTCAAGTAGCTGAGACTACAGGCACCTGCCATAATGCCTGGTTTATTTTTCTACTTTTAGTAGCAACAAACTCTCCTTGCTCAGGCTGGTCTCAAACTCCTGAACTCAGTCCACTCACCTTGGCCTTTCAGAGTGCTGGAATTCCAGACGTGATCCATACTCAGCTCCCTCTTCATTCTTAAAGAGTCTTTTCTGTATTCTGAGGGAAAGTCACTGCTCTCCCCTTTTCCCACCATTCCCTCCAAAACCTAGGTCACTTTACATTCTTTGCTCAGTGGCCTGTTGACATCAGACCAGTCCTCTAATGTGACTTTATGTTCATCTTAGAAAACCATCCTTGGCCTCATCCTTTCCTAGCAGGGTGGTCTGCTGTAGTCCTGCTTCTTCCATGCTCTCCTGAGCCTGAGTTCCCTGGGGCTGCCAGCAGAGGGCATCATCCTAAATAAGCACTTGGGAAGGCCGGTGGGGCTTTCTGAGTCAGAGCAGACAGCTGTCATCTCCAGCCATCTCCCCGTGCCACACACAGTTTATATGTAATCTGTTCTTGCCATGTGATAGGTACATACAGTTTGATGTGAGGATAAATGTGTCTCCTGCCCCTGAGAGGTCTCCAGAGGAAGAAGTAAGGTGCTGTTCCTCACAGTCAGTCAGTGGTCCTGGGAGCCCTGAAATTGCTCCTGCCAAGGCTTCAGATAACAGGAGGCATCTTACTCAGACTGAATATACAAGTCCCCAGTCTGCCCGGGGTTATGGGGCCAATTGAGTTTCTGAGTGAAAATGCCTGAGCTCTGGTTCTCGGATCCCAGCCAAGCAGCACCTTGTGTGGCTGACTTGACTCTGGGTGGCAGGGATTTGCTGATGGTGAAGGCTGGGAGTTCCCTTCTTTTAGCCTCTCTTATAAGATCTGTCTCCTTGAGGCTCCCCATGCATCTTTATGGCAGTTTGATATAGTGTGTCCTTGTATCTGTGCACAGTCCTGATCCTAATGCCTCCTAGTCCTGCCTCTATTACCACTGCTCTTGATATGTGTTCTTTGGAACACTGCACAGGTGCTCTGATGATGTGTGGCAGAGTTCTCTGAAAATCATCTTAGCCTCCCCCCCACATCTTTGGTCCAAATGATATGGAAGACTCTCTTCTATGTTTAAATACTGAGCTCACTTGCCTTATCTGCCTCATCTGTCAGGCAAGTCCTTGTATTTCCCTAAGCACTGCCATCCTCACTCCCACCTCCCCATTTGCCACACTTCTTCTCTACATGATCCTGATTTTCAATCACCTGTTTTCCCTGGATGATGAGAAGGGAGATACCAAGTTCCCACATGGGGCCATTTGAGGGGGAGAAGGGGAGGCCCTGGCTGCATGTGGCTAAGACTCATACCACTTTCCCTGCAGGTATTATCAGAGCATTTATGACACTGCTGAGAACATCAACGTGCACTATCCTGAATGGCTGAGCCCTGAAGAGGACCTGAACTTTGTGACCGACACTGCCAAGGTAGCACTGAGCCGGGCTGGGCAAGAGCATGGGGAGCATAGTGAGGATGGTTAGAATGCTCATGTTTGAGGACAGAAGATGTGGACCACTAGGCACCCCCTTCCCTACCGCAGGCTTTGGCAGATGTGGCCACAGTGCTAGGACGTGCACTCTACAAGCTCGCGGGAGGAATCAACTTCACTGACACAGTTCAGGCTGATCCCTATACGGTAAGAACAGATGGGCCCTACCCTCAGTTTACACAAGCCTCTACCCCATTCTTTAGTCCCTTGCCTACTGTCCCAGACCTTGGAATTCAGTGTTCCTGTTCATGCCACTGAGGACGCCTAGTGCTGCAGCAAGCTCTAGGGTGGCCTCATCTACATCGTTATGAGCTGTCTTCCAACCACAGCCTATCTGGACAGTCTGGTTCTTGTCCCCTCACTGGCTCTCCACTGGTAATTCTTTTCCTGGACTTGCCCCAAGGGTTTTCTCTTCTCAATGTTCCCTAGGTTACCCGTCTGCTCTATGGCTTTCTGGTTAGAGCCAACAACTCATGGTTCCAGTCTATCCTCAGGCAGGACCTAAGGTCCTACTTGGGTAAGCATCTGGAGTGGGAATGGGACCCTTAACAAAGGAAACGAATAGAGAAAAAGTTATCATTTTGGTTTGATTTTTTATATATTTTTTCTATTTTCTCTTTCCCATTTTCCTTTACTTCTGATGTTTGTTGGATCCTTTTAACCTCTTCGGGTCTTCTGGCTCCTGCCAATTGTGGGCTTTTCCTATGTCTGCCTACTCTCTCCACCTTCCAACCACCAAATCCACCCTTCCCTTTGGTCTGTAATCAGGTGATGGGCCTCTTCAACATTACATTGCTGTCTCCAGCCCCACCAATACCACTTATGTCGTACAGTATGCCTTGGCAAATTTGACTGGCAAGGTGATCAACCTTACCCAAGAGCAGTGCCAGGATCCAAGTACAGTCCCGACTGAACACAAGGATGTGAGTGGTGACGGGTGTTGGAGGTGCCCTGGGGCCCCTTTCCTTTGGGAAAGTTGGAGGTTCTCCTGGGTCCAGTTGGACTCAGGGAATTGGGATGGAGAGGTAGAGGGATATAGCCCTCAGACCTTGAGTATTGAAGAGGCAGTGGCCTGGGTGAAAATGGACCCCCTAAAGGGTAAAGGGACAGCAGCCAGTCAGCTCAGTTGGTTAGAGCACAGTGCTGGCAAAGGGTAAAGGAGCGAGTGAGAAGAGGATCACCTCAGCCCCGTGTGGGGGCCCATCTTCCTATGCAGTTTTATGAATACTCGTGGGTTCAGGGCCCTTTGAGTTCCAACAAGACGGACCGGCTCCCCCGGTGTGTGCGTTCCACTGCACGATTGGCCAGGGCCTTGTCCCCTGCCTTTGAGTTGAGTCAGTGGAGCTCTACTGAATACTCTACATGGACCGAGAGCCGCTGGAAAGACATCCGTGCCCGGATATTTCTAATCGCCAGTAAAGAGCTTGAGGTGAGATGGGGTAGAAGGGGAGGTGGCAATGATCTGTTGGACTTCTTTCTGTGGTCTGTTGTCTCATATCTCTTTCCATCTCCCATTTGCCCCAAATTTGCCTCCAAAACCTACTGCAAATCTCCCTGGTCAGCCAGCAAGTCCCATTAGGAGGCCTTTCTTCACAGATAGTTTGACTATGTGTTCATTCTGTGGATCCTAGAAGCTCCTCCACAGCCCTGACCCCAGCTGGCATTCTTTCTATTGAGCCTATAAGTCAGTAATGCCAGTGCCATGGGAAAATCACAGCTATGTGATTCTACTTCAAGATGCTGAGTAAGTGATACCAGGTGGAAGCAAGAACGGAGATCCTCTATTTCTCTTTTCAAGTGGGGAGAGAAAGTCTACAGGTTGGGGAGGTATTGCCCATGATTGTCCCACGCTTGGTGCTTGGACCCTGTATCAGAGTTCCAGTGTCCTGACTCCCAACCCTCAATAGTAACCCCAAACTGCACCAAGTCCTGAGAAAACCTTCTCCCTCTCTGCCTCCACAGTTCATCACCCTGATGGTGGGCTTCGGCATCCTCGTCTTCTCTCTCATCGTCACGTACTGCATCAACGCCAAAGCCGACATCCTTTTCATTACTCCCCGAGAGCCCAGCGCTGTGTCTTATTGAGGAGGACCCCAGGTTTTCCTGCCAGTTCTGCCATCTACTTTCTAAGTCACTTGTCCCACTGGGACACAAACCACTAGTTTGTCACTGGAACTCTCTGGGTCTGTCTCAGACTGGGATTAACATAAAGTAGTAAAATTATCCAGAAGAGACAGAGAGAGAGAAATAAATTGCCCCCCCTTCTCCATTTCCTCCAACTTCCTTACCCTTGCCAGATTCTGGGATTACAAATGGAAGCTTTCTGCTCCTGTTTAACACCCTAATTACCCACCCTAATTTGTCCTTCTTCAGGTCCCTCTCCCACTTTTGCCACCGTTTACCTCCCTCTGCTCCTCACCCCCTGACACAACCACCTTCCTGACCAGGAAAAAGGACATGAAGGGTTGAATGTCGGGATCAAATTACACTGAGCCCCTGAGGAGGAGGACAGGGGGACCTCTGGGCTGACCTGCTGTCTCCTCCCATCCTTTCTCCAGGTCCACGGATGGCACATTAGGGTGGGCATGCTGCCTGGTGGGTATCCCACCTCCAGCCCACAGTACTGAGTTGTACTTTTTATTAAGCTGTAATATCTATTTTTGTTTTGTTTTTTTTTCCTTTTTTTTTTTTTTGTAAATATATACATAGCAAGTTTCATTAAAATAGATTATCCCACATGACTTGTTTTGCTGCCCTTGATTCTTTCCAGGCCGCCCTGTTTAGAGACCAGTCTGGAAGTCGTGAAATTGTTACCTGCACACTATCTTCTTGCCCTCCAGAGGACCCAACGAGTCAGGCTCTGTTGGAAATAGTTGAATTTGCAATCCTGGAGCCTTGGTCTCCCCCTCTTGTAAGAACAGTGTCAGCCTGGTTTCTTCCTGGTTAAGGTACAGAGATGAAAAGAACATGACGCTTACCCTTGAGTAGCTCACAATTGGAGTGAGGGAATAAACAGACAGACAACTAGGTGGAATCCAGTGTAACACACAGAGTACTTGTAGCATTTCTGGAGTGCTCTGACAGCACATGGAGGGATTCAGGGACGGGGGTTGATAGTCGAGTTATGCGTTCACTAGGTATAGCCGCAAAAAGGCAAAAAAGGCAGAGTCGTGTTTGGGAAACGGTGAGTTACAGAGCATGCCTGAGCCATAAGAGGTCAGTAGGAGGTAAGCCCAGGCCGTATCCTGAGGGCTCTTGGATGGCAGGCATGCTAAGGAGATTGGGGTTTCTGCTAATGGTGGGCATTTTGTAGCCCAAAACAAAAACAGGTTTGGACCATTAGAGAAAGACAACTTCAGCTCTATAGGGGATGTTCTAATTCCTTGGGTCTTCATGGAGGCAAAATTCTGGAACATAGCAGAACTGGTAAATGATCGTGGGCAGTGGCTGAGTCAGCTGAGTGGGGAAGATAACCGGTGAGGGTGGAAGCCTAAATCCCCTTTCTCTGCATTGCTGGCCAAGAGGCTGCCTCTGGTGCATACCTGAGATCAGTGATGGGAAAGCACTGGACATTTTCACAGGGGCCCCAACACTCCTGAGTGAGCTATTTACCTTTTTTTTTTTTTTTTTGAGACAGCATCTCACTCTGTTACTCAGGCTAGAGTGCATGGCATTAGCCTACCTCACAACAACCTCAAACTCCTGGGCTCAAGTGATCCTCCTGCCTCAGCCTCCTGAATAACTGGGACTACAGATACCAATCCCTAAGCCCAGCTAATTTTTCTATTTTTAGTATAGACAGGGTCTCGCTCAGGGTTTTGAACTGAGCTCAAGGGATCCTCCTACCTCAGCCTCCCAGAATGCTAGGATGAGCCACTCTACCCTTCTTACCTTTTCAAATATTGTTAAGAGGTGATTTTTCTCCAGGTTTCTCCCTGAGTTCTCTTAGGGGTAAAGGGGCATCTTTGGAGTTCTGAGATATGGAAATATACCCTGCTGCTTCCCCCCAGCCCTGCCCTCCCAGTCTGAGCTAGGGAGTCTGTGCACTGAGCTGGCGGGAGTCGAGCACAGCTGCCACTATGCCTGGGCTGGCTCCCCACCTCCCTTGGCCAACAGGTCTCCCAGCGGACAGAGCAGTAAACTCCCTCATCCTGCTGGCAGCTTCAGGAAGCAGAGAAGTGGCTGGGTACCAGTGAGAGGGCTAAAAAGGAAACACGGCTGGGCAGAATCAAGGGATCCGGGAGTAATAAAGAAGGGTAAAGATGCAGGACCCTTAAAACTGCAATGTTTCCCTAGAAAAGAATGCTATCGCAAGCTAGTCTTCTGATTTCCATGTTCCCGTACCTTACTGTTCTCACCCATCCCCCCCAATAAAACACAACTGGGCTCTTTCCATGGCTCTTGGAGAGGCCAGGCTCTATGGAAGGACCACAGGCATCTGGCTGGCCTGCTGGGGCTTCTAAACACCCAGCCTTTCTGAAACCATGTTTCTGGCTCCTCACTGGCTATCTCCTGACCCCTGAAGACCATGGGTGACTGGCTGGGAGCATTTAATGGGCCACATACTTCTCAATTCCTTAGCCTCCTTCTCCCCCTTGATCTAGGCCTTGTTCGAGGCTCAGATTTATTATTTTCCAGCCTCTTTTATTTCCCAGAGGGCTTCCCTTCCCCCCATCCCAGGACCTTGCCTGTCTGAACTTAGTGTGACACCTAATCTCTCGAGACTAACACTGAAGGGTTTCCTCCCAGCTAGTGTTTCTCCCCCAGTTTGCTTGAGCAAAGTGGTTTACTATTTTTTCTTTCTTTTTAAGACAGTCTCATTTTGTTGCCCTTGGTAGAGTGCTATGGTGTCAGAGCTCACAGCAACCTCAAACTCTGGGGTCCAAGTGATCCTCTTGCCTCAGCCTCCCACGTAGCTGGGATTACGGGCGCCTACCACAATGCCCAGCTATTTTTTTTAGAGATGAGGTCTGGCTCTGCCTTAGGCTGGTCTTGAACCTGTGTGCTCAGGTAATCCACCTGCTTCAGCCTCCTAGAATACTAAGATTGCAGGCATAAGCCACCACACCTGGCCTACTATGTTTTCTTTCCCACATCTAGGTCCCTGCTTCTATACTGGTACATCCCGGGATAAGATATGTTTTATCCAGAGTCTGATGCTCTGTACCAAGATCCCTGCCTTATTCAGTAGGACTTCCTTTCCTCAAGGGGCTACAGAAATCATGCAGATGATCTAAATTGTTTGCTAGATGAGGGAAATAGCCCAGAGGAGTGATGTGGCTTGCCCAGAGTCACACAGCAGGGAGACAGAATTGGAGCATCCCTTATATCTGTACTGGCAACCTCAGCAGTAATAGTCATTTATTGAACATGGCTCTGGGCAAGGCACTCTGTCGTAGCATTGCCAAAAGGTGAGTGACATGATGCCTTGCCTTGGAGACTTAGGATTCAGGGTCCAAATGGCAGGATGGGACATGCCACAAGATAAATAGCCAGATGAGGCAGTGTAGGAGCCATATAAAGTTGGTGCCATAGAGAGGTTCTACCCAAGTTGGGAGAATAGAGGATTTGCTTTAGACAGGCAGGGCTGTAAAAAGGAGCTTCATCAAGAGCTCAGGGCTAGATTTTATGGTCTGCAACTAATAGTTCCTGTGACCTGGAAAGGGCATTCTCTACCTTCTACGTGGAGTTGGACAAGGGGCTGGCCTGTGAGGTCCTCTGGCCCTGTCTGTCTGGTTCTGTGAAGGGAGAGCAAGATGTATAGTCTCCTTTGTCTTCTCCCTTTCATCTTAAACTCCTCCAGGCAATGGCCATTTGAAAGACTGATCAATTCCTGAACTCTCAAAGGTAGCACTGGGGTCAGTTCTAGGGAGGAAGGCCTGAGGGGCACTACTGCCCTCTAACCTAGGGACAGAAGGAATTTGGGGAATTGTGGCATAACACGATAGAAAAAAGACACCCTGTCACTTAGCATCTCATCCTCAAAGCTTGGTAGAGATGCTGAGGTTGAGCTGGGGAAGCAGAGGCCCTTGGAAGGTTGGGGTCCAAGTGGACTGTCCATTGCTTTTATTCCTTCTAAATTCAAGGTCAGAAGTGAGAGGAGCTCCTATCTTGCTATTGTGGAGAAGGGCAGCTGTAGCCTCTGTCCCCAACCAGAGGAAACTTGGAGCAGAGTGGAGAGGTCATCTCCAGAGGCCTAAGGAGAAGCCATTAGTCTGAGGTGACGCAATTGTGAGCAAATGTTACCAGCCTCTGGCTTGAGCTGGGTGTTGCACAGGGGCTGGGGCTAGGACCTTAGAGTCCTTACACTCTCTCCCTCAACTCACAACTGAGGAGGGATTAGAGAAAGAAAAAAAGAAAGAAGAAAGAAAAAATGGAGATAAGAAAGAGGATCCAGAAATAAATAAGCTAGTGAAAGGAAACTAAGGAAGCAAAGATTTCTCACAGGGCTAAAGGAGGAAAGGGAGGCCCATAGCTGAGCTGAGAGGGAACTGAACTGAGCCTGAGGGGAGAAAGGCCAGGCGGGCGTGGCCAGGAGGGGAGTAGGCCCAGAGCTGGTGGTGACAGATGGGTGGACACAAAAGAAGAGAGCTTCAGGGAAGACAGATGGATGGGGGAGGGAAGGGAAGAGGCTGGGTGGGGGAGGGCAGCACAGTGGTTGGAGGCCATAATGAGATTGGAGATGGGCTCAGAGCTGAGGAGAGGTGAGTGGAGAGGAAAGAAGAAAGGGGAGGCCGCCTCAGGAGACAAAGGCTACAGGCCTAGGGGGCCAGGGGCAAGAGGGCTAGGGCTGGGCGCTGAGAAGGGGGGTTTCCAGCCAGGCTGGCAGCGGAGAGAGTGACAGATTGTGTAGTGAGCCAGAGTGGAGACCCGCTGTCACCTTTCAGAGGCACAAGGAGGTAGAGACAGGGAAAGACAGACTGACTGAGACCATGTGGAAACAGACAAGAAGAGAAACTTAAAGGCAGAAGACCGGCCCAAGACGGGCTGCCCATTCCCAGAAACACAACAGCTTCTGCCCAGGCTCCTCTGCCTGTCTTGCTTCTGTGGCCCATGATGCCACCACCCTAGCCCTGGGCCACTCCCAGGGAAGGGTCAGGCACTGTGGCACAGCGAGGGTTAACACCGTCTGCTCTCCCTGCCAGCGCTTGCCTGGTTGGGTCCCCAGGGCTCCCCACATATGTCACCCCCTCTCCTGCCAAACCCACTGCTTCCCATCTCCTCCAGGCCCATCCCCCACCCTCAAGGACAAGGCCCAGGCCACTGTGTCTTCCCTGCCGATCCATCTCCCCCACAGCAGTCTACCTCACTGGCTGTCTAGAGACAGAAAGAAATTCGTAACCCACAGTCTGAAAAAGTGAACACCTGTAAAATGTAAAATAACAGAAAACACTCATTCTATTTCCTACAGCAAGGTGTTGGCCAGCTCTAGAATCACAAATAAAAGCTGATGAAGTTTTAAAACTGAAAAAAAGTGTAACAACAGCAATAAACCATAAAGGCACAATCCTCCCTATCCCCGGGCCCTGCTCCCCCTGCCCTCTATACACCAAAGACCCCCCGCCAACCCCCATGGCCTCCTTCCCTTGGGCCTGAGCTGACCTCAGAGCCCATCCCAGCTTCTGCAACTTCCTGCCTCAGGTAGACATGTGTCTGAAACTTCTTGCCACCTTCAAAGCACTGTGCAGCAGGGGTTGGGACTTTACAGTTTACCCAATACTTTCCCATGTGTTACTTC